AATTTATTCTAGATTCCATCATCAAACATACGGATGTGACGTTTGATAATGATTCATATCATATGGAAGGTGGAGATACCTTCAATGATTATGATCCATTACTGTTAGAAGAAGTTGCCTCAGCGAATCGAACTGTAATTCGAACAAACGGATTTATTGTAAGTTGACAGTTCTCCACTATTGTCTAAACCTTATTCATTATCTAGGGAGTCACAAAACTGTTCGCGAATGCCCAGGTAACCAAGGCCACGTTGAATGAAAGATTCGCAGAGAAGTTTCCGCACATTCACCTCACATATAGCAAATTGAGGAGGTAAGCGAATCTCTTTTTCCTTAAGTCAAATTTGCATCGGTAAGGTTAAAATCGCACCTGGCTTTTCTTTTTTACATAAATTTTATATCTTTGTTGTCGATATGCAATAATGGCAATTTTTTAGTATCAAAAAAGACCTATGGTTGCTTTCCAAAGAATGTGATGTAGATGAATATACGCTTGCACAAGCGTATGTATATTTTGAAAGGATTGTTTGCAAGGTAAGCCTCCTTTTATAAGGTTCCTAAGTATAATACTTTACGCCAAGAGTTTAGGGATTGATTTCGAAGTACAATCGCAAATTTGTTGCTGGTGTAGCTTTCCTTGTTGCCGTAAAACTCAACGATTATAAGAAGCCGGACATAACCAGAGTTCTAGAGGTATTCGTTTCTCGATAGCAGCAGATACCAGTGCACGATTTCCTTGTTTTCAGTGTGCTGAGGAAAAATTGCGGATATCGAGGAAAGAACTGCTTTCTTTCGAGCTACCTCTATGCTCAGCACTTGAATTTGATCTCTTTCCACCTATTCATCACATAGAACCACATCTCAGGAAAATCATGTTCGGTGCATTTTGAGTGCGCTTAGGTGCTTGTCTGTGGTCAACTTCGCTGCAGTATTTCTAGTCTTTCAGTTTTTTATGAAGCTGTGCTTTATTTCTTTTCAAATTTTTTCATACAGTTAGACTATGACACATCATCTCTTAGCATTCTACTCGTCTTTCATGGTCAGTACACATTTTCAGTTTGCTTAGCTTTATTGATGGACGGGTCATGCCAGTTTTGATGATAAACATGTACCAAAGTCCTTGTTCTTCTATGTAGTGGTCTCATCCCAGATTATTCTCCAAATGTTTTCAGAGTAAGTTCTCCAGATTTCTTCATTCCAGGACTATGAGTAATTTCGAGCAGTTCTACA